CCCAGGTTTTCTTTTTTTAAAAAAAAAAAAACCTTTTGGGGGGGGGCGGAAAGGAAGGAGGGCAGGGGGAGGGAGAAAAAATAAACTTTCCCGGACCCTGCAAACTGGTCTGGGCTGCATTTCCAGCCCCCTACCTGGTTGGAGTGATGCGAACACCGAAAAGGGAAGAGGAGCAACTACGAGGCGGGCCGGAGGGCTGCTTTCTCTTCCCGGCCCGGACGAGGGCTCCAGCCCACTCGCCAGATACACTTAAAATGTAAATACGAGCTTCCAGAACAAATGCTACAACACAAAACAGAAACACATGTGCGGCCGGGCGGCAAGCGAGCGCTCGGCGGGACGGGTAGCACAGGGTCCCCCGGGCGCCAGCGCCTCCTAGGGGCCGGCGGACCACATGGCCGCCCACCCGGGCCTGCACCCCGCGCCATGCCGCACGCCCCGTTGCGCCTTCTGCACACCCGCCAGCGCGCCCCGGGCCTTCCGCGTACGTCCTGCGCGTCAGAGACTGTGGGCCTCGGGAGAGGGTTAGGTGATTCATTTTTTTTCCTCCGAGCGTCTAGACAGGTCACCTGAGGACAACTCGCTGGAAAATAGTGACTTTGCTCACGAAGCAGCCAGCAAGGGACGTGTCCTAATTGACTGATTGGAGAGAGGAATACGATTTGAATAACTTTTCTGCAGAGAGAGGCTCGATTTGTATTTGCCTGTGGATGTGTCCCCTGTATGCAGTCAGGTGCTGTTACATGGTCAAGTTACATAAAGGTTCCATATGCCAGTAAGCTCATTCGTAATTAACTGGAGGATCATGGATGAACCTGGAGATAGTATTTGGTTTTTTTTTTTTTTTTTTTTTTTTAAACCGTTGTTAGCCACCATGTGGATGTTGAGAATCCAACCCGGGTCCTTTGCAAGAACAGTCAGTGCTCTTAACCACTGAGCCATCTCTCCAGCTCCCTGGAGAGAGTTTGATGGACTTTTTTTTTTTTATACTGAGCCCCCGGTACATTCGAGACTCAACAGTGCTAGATGTTGGGAGTACAGACCTAGGGAACAAGATCTCTGCCGTAATGGAACTCGGGCTAAGAAAGATTCATTAAACAAGTGATTGCAAGTGTGATTGTCTCAAAGTGGTATCTGCACAGACCAATTATCTGGAGGGGGGTGCGGTTTACCCCCATTCACGGATCGAGGAAGGGGTTCCCTGGGCAAGCTGAGCTAAACAAAGAATCAGACTCCCCAGAGTAGGGATAGAAAGTTTATCTTCAACCGACAGCGAAAAATAGTGCAGGGTCCCGGTATCCTGGGAGGGAAAATGGCCAGAGGAGCTGGGGGGAGAAAAAGGAGCTGGCTGAAGGAAGGGGTAGGCAGGGCCGCTCACAAAACCTAGTAACTGGTACTGAGGATTGTGGGAGAATCTGGTTGGCGGGGGTGGGGGTGGGGTTGCTTTCCTCCCACTGGTCCCCTTCCTGGTGCTTTATCTCAGTATCACTTTTCTGGTACCAAATGTTTCCTTTTTGTTTGGGTTTTGTTTTGTCTGTTGTAGTCCAGGCTGGCCTGGGACTCACATTGTGGCCTAGGCTGGCCTTGAACTTCAGATCCTCCTCCTCCACCTCTCAAGAGCACACAGATGTGAAAGTTTCTTTGGGGCAACTTCCGGCAGATGGGTAGAGTTGTAGGATCTTCACAGTTCATTCTTCAATTATTGCAGCAAGAAACATGATGGGGGGCGGAGCAAAAGTGTCTAAAGACGGACAGAGAATCCAAGAGACCCAAACCTAAGTGATCTGATCGAAGTCCCAAGTCTGTGTGTCCAGGGAGCCTAGAGCACTTATGTAAAACAACTCTGAAAATGAACAATCAACTGGTACATTTCCGAGATTTTCAGGAAGGTCAAGTATGGATAGAAGCACCGTTTGAAAGCAGTTTCTTAATAGACCCGGCATTAGGAAAGAGTGAAAGATTAAACCTTGGTGCTTTGACACAAAACGTAAATAGAACCAACCAGAAAAAATTCCGCCTAAGTGTGCCATCAAGTCCCAGTTTCAGAAAACGGCTCGCTGATGCTTGCCAGGCGGAGGAGGCTGGTTGGGTGTTTACCCTCCCAACACCACCCTGTGTGGCCAATTAGGAACACCGACGGTGCCTTTAAAAGGATTTCAGCCAGCCGAGTCTTTTTCCTTTCTCCTGCCCCATTACACTGCTTTCTGTCGGCGTAAACGGCACATGCGTCAGAAACGCTGATGCAACGAGACGCTGATATCACATTGCATCATCTGACCCAAGGTGTGGTGCTCCCCAAACTGGTTTTTCTTGAGGCTGTGGTGGAGAAAAGCGCTCGGGGTATACCCACCCACCGGCCCTCCTAGCCGCATGATAAAGTGCTTTCACGCCTCAGTTCCACACACTTTGGGTCCAGGGAAAGCCCAAGTGACTTTCCTTGGTTGAATTGGGGGTGCTGCCTGACACACTCATCAGCCAGGCGCGCCGCGCTGCTCAGCTTATGTAACCAGAGTGACAGAGGGAGATGCACCTACCAGGCCAGCTGCAAGTGCTTTCCTCCACTCCCCAAAATGTGCTCGGAAATTTTACTTCATTTTAAGTGAGCAACTAACCGATCAGGGAAAGAATGGTTTTGTGCAAAGGGTGGAGAGGGGGAGGAGAACAGGGACTGAGATTTCTAGGTCTTTCTGAGCACAGGTGCCTGGCCTGCATATCTCTCTTTTGTTCCTCAGTAAAGGCAACTTCCAAGTTAAACTCAGCAGGCAATTCAGCTCTGTCCTAGAAGTGTGAGTCCATTTAGCTGAGCCACAGAAAGCTTCACTGCTACTTTGAAGAGTCTCTGGTCACAAAACCTCTAGTCATGGGACTGATGACCCTCACAGAAGGAAATGTAATTCTTTTGTTTTGACACAAGGATTTCCTGTATCCCATGCTAACCTTGAACTCACTGTGTACCCAAGAGATGACCTTGAACTTTTGATTATCCTTCCTCCACCTGCAGAGTGCTGAGATTACATATGATCTGTGTAGGTGCAATTGGGTCAGGATGGGAGAGTGCACATTCTACCTGTGCCATTGAACTAGGAACCTCCTGAGCACTTGAGATGTGACTGGTGCATATTGCAGTGTGCTAGAGTCTAAACACACACTAAATTTGTTTTGTTTTTGAAGCAGGGTTTCACTGTGTAGCCCAGTGTGGCCTTAAACTGGTGATCATCCTGCCTCAGTCTACCAAGTGCTGCAATAACTGGCCTATACCACCATCCCCAACTCACACTAGATCTCAAAGACGGAGCAATTAAAAAAAAAAAAAAAAAAAGCGAGGCTGGAGAGATGGCTCAGCAGTAAAGAGGACCGGGTTCGATCCCCAGCACGCACATGGTGGCTAACAACTGTCTGTAACTCCAGTTCCAGGGGATCCGATGCCCTTTTCTGACTCCCTTGGGCACTGGACAACATGGGTCCACCTACCCACATGCAGACAGTATGCTTATACATATAAAATAAAAATAATGAATATTTTTTTTAAAAAAAAAGCAAGAACTGGGCATGATGGCACATGTCTTTAAACCTCAGCACTCCACCCCACCAATTCTGTGAAATGAAGACCAGACTGATCCTCATAGCAAGTTCCAGCCTAGTCAGAGTTGCATAGTGAGACCCTGCCTCAAAAAACAAACAAAAAAGCAAACTCTTATTAATAATTTTATTATATTAATCTGGGTACAATATATGTACTTGTAGTCTCAGCTACTTGGGAAACTGAGGCAGAAGGATTGCTTGAGCCCACAAGTTTAACCATAGCTTGGGCAATGGCCGGAAACCTCATATCAGAAGCAAATACTGTTGGAGACATAGCTCAGTGGTAGAACACTTGCCTTGCCTTTGAGAGGCTCTGAGTTTAATTCTGAACAACCTTCCGAAATAGAATCTAAATCCAGTATGGTGGCACACTGTAATCCCAGTACTCAGAGAGCCAAGGCAGAATGCTGCTGAGTTCAAGCCATCCTGGGCTACATAGTGAGTCTGAAACCAGCCTAGGATATATACCCAGAGCCTGTCTCAAAAAACAGAGATTGTTCAGTGGGTACATACTGCTGCTGGGCTCATAGTGGTCACCTTTATCCCAGCGCTCTAGACGCAGAGACAGGCAGATCTCTGTCAGTTGCAGACTAGTCTAGCCAAATAGGGAGTTTCAAGCCAGCCAGTGCTGCACAGTGATACCTGTCTCAAAAAAACAATAACAAGGGGCCGGGCATGGTGGTGCACACCTTTAATCCCAGCACTCAGGAGGCAGAGGCAGGTGGATCTCTGTGAGTTCAAGGCCAGCCTGGTCTACATAGTGAGTTCCAGGACAGCTGGGGCTACAGGGAGACCCTGTCTCAAAAAGACCAAAAAAACCCACCAAAAACCAAAAAACAAAACAAAACAAAAAACAAACAAGGAGCTGGAGAGATGGCTCAGAAATTAAGAGCACTGGCTGCTCTTGCTGAGGATCCAGGTTCGATTCCCAGCACCCACATGGCAGCTAACAACCATATGTAACTCCAGCTCCAGGGAATCTGACATTCTTTTCTGACCTCCACAGGCATTGCATGACACAGGTGCACTTACCTACATGTAGGCAATAAACTCATACAAATAAAATAATAAATAAAACATTTTAAAACAAATAAAAAAGACACTGCCAAGAGCACTGGCTGCTCTTGCTGAGGATCCAGGTTCGATTCCCAGCACCCACATGGCAGCTAACAACCATATGTAACTCCAGCTCCAGGGAATCTGACATTCTTTTCTGACCTCCACAGGCATTGCATGACACAGGTGCACTTACCTACATGTAGGCAATAAACTCATACAAATAAAATAATAAATAAAACATTTTAAAACAAATAAAAAAGACACTGCCAGGTGTGGAGGCACATGCCTTTAATCCCAGCACTTGGGAGGCAGAGGCAGGCGGATCTCTGTGAGTTCAAGGCCAGCCTGGTCTAC